CATTTGTCACATACTTTGGCAAAATTTGGTGGACATTAGCTTTTTTAGTTGTAAATCTTGATTTATTATTTTGCTATATATATACTTAAAGACTTTGCATTTGATTTCTGTGTCACCAGATTTTCTATTATTACCAGCTATTTAGAAATATTGATACTTTTCTGTTTCGCCGGCACAAATATCGCCATGCAGACTTTTTTGGTGACAACATACTGTGTACACATAAAAAATGTTAACAAATGTTAGTTCTAAGAATTTTTATTTTGAAGGCATCAACATTTTCATATCGTTTAAAATTTTGTAAAAAGACATTGATTTAAGAATTTACTAATTCAGTAATTATCTACATTAATTTCAAGTTAAATCATAATTTGGAATACAAGTTTAAATGCAAGAATTATTTCAATTCGTACGAATAGCTTGCTCAGAAATTATGTAAAACTGCAACGCTTTACTTCGCTAGTGCATTCTCATTAGAATTGATGAATTTAACCCTTGACTTTGCCTTTTTCATATTTTCGTCTTCAGGTGAGCGTAGTGATTGCATCCTAATTGATTTAATTACCTCGAATGGCCTTGACATAAAATTGAACTATCTGGTAAAAATTCTAGGTAATTGTATTGAAAGAAACAATCAATGTGATAAAAAATGGCTGCGATTTGTTTTGAAAATGAGGCGTAAAAGGTTAGCAGTGAGGATGTTCCATTTGGCATCGGTTTTACCATTATTGGCGACTTTATCGCCTGCACCGGCAAAATGGAAAAGTATCGAAATGTTAAAAACGGTATTTACCTTTTTTGAGTATTTATCTGGAGTCTTCTTTGCATATAGAAATAATGATTGATGCTTTTTTCATTTATGATTATTAATGTTGTTTATTTTGCAATTCAAAATTTTTATCCCAAGCATTTTGCAATGTTTTTGAATTATCGAAAAGGAATATTTCTTTTCAGAAAGTGCAAAACATATTCTTCTATCCATGGCTTGTTTGTGTGTGACATTTTGAAAGAAGGATAAATTGAAAAGTTGCACACAGTATTTCTCATTTCAAATAATAAACTGTTGCCAAAAGTCTTTTTTCAAAACATTTTTTTTTTTTAAAATTCTTTGTGAAAATCATTCTAAAAATGTGTAATTATTCTCTGTATCTCTTGTTTTTGATCAGATCTGGAAGCTAAATGTTCACATTTCAGTACAACGCCCTCTGTAATGAAAGATCTTGTTTCAATCCCGAATGGCTCTAAACTTCTAATTTGAGTATCTGCTTTATTAAACAACTTTCTCAATCCATTTAAATCCTTTATTTTTTTAACAACAGGAATTTTAAGTAACTCATTCAGATGGGCTTGTATAAAAGTATTCTTGTTCCCAAATCTACTTTTTATTGTATCCAAAGCAGTGTTGTAATGTTGTTCTGTTAACACAAAACTTGTACAGTTAGATGCTCTACTTCTTAAATATGACCTGAAATTAGATGCTTCACCTCTTAAATATGACTTGAAATAGTTAAATATATCTATTTTTATAGGATTACTGTTATTATGAATAGCACTTTCAAACTGATTGTAATATTCTAGCCAAAGCACAGGATTGCCATAATATTTATTTATTATTAATTTAGGAAAGTTTAACTCTTTTGAGTTCTCTAAAGATTTGATTCTCTGTATAACTTGAGCAGTTGTTGGAAAAGAAAAAGATATTTTAATAGTTTTGATTTCATTTTTCAATAATCTATCAATTATATATTTTCTGTTGGCAGGGGATAATTTTTTTCTGAGTATTCCTCTGACACAGTTAATATGTCTTCTATAGTGTCAACTTCGCAAGGACTTGACTTCATCATTTAAGCATTTTAAATTAGTTTCTTTATCTGTTATTTTTGCTCAAAACTTCTTTCAGGTATCTACTTGTTGCATCTATTTCTCTCAAATCTTCAATAATAAAGGCTTCAACTTGATTAATTAACTTAGTTAAAGTACACCTAACTGCACTATGTTACTTTCTCAATTTAGATACTCTTAACATCTTACAAATAATTCAAATATCAAACAAAGCATCAAAGCAAATTCTACCTTTGCTTTCCACAAAATCCAACAAATCATCAAGCAAAGCTTGCAATTAAACCATTAGAATTCTTCCCAGTGCCTTTTCTGGTGGCTGTAAAAAATATGAAGTATGCTTAAGACACAATAACATGCCGAATAAATACTAATTCAGAAGTCAAACAACAAAAATCAGCGTAATATTTTCAAAATTTTTACAGGACTAGTTTCGATGGTTTTACTGAACCACCATCCTCAGCTGCAAAACTGGGGGGGGGGAATCCCCGGTTTTGCAGCTGAGGATGGTGGTTTGCGAAACAGTCCTGTAAAAATTTTGAAAATATAATGCTGATTTTTGTTGTTTGACTTCTGAATTAGTATGAAGTATGCTGTTTGAAATAACTCCACATTTTGAAACTATAATGTTTTAATTCACTGTATGTATTTTAATACATTGTACTATTGTTACATATACCTTCTTTTATTACTTTTTAACTGATGCCAGTGCTTCCTCAACTAAAACTTTTACTTACTTAGGTTATAAGATATTTTCTCCCACCTTCTTAGCATGTCTTTGTGGTCAGCACACTCGGTGCATATTCAAGAGGTCCGAGGTTCAAGTCCCGGCGTGGGCACTGCACATTTTTCGCATCTCCTGCTTCAAAAATAATCTAATGTCTCCACAGTGGTGCCCAAACTAAAAAAGGTGGTGGATGATGATTCTCCACCACCAGGATTTTGCAATTGGGTCCCCTAATCCTCAGTCGCCCTTTAGAAGGGGGAAAATAGAAGATATTTCTCCTGCCTTCTTAGCATATCATTGTGAGGTAATGGTCAGCACACTCATATTAGTTTCATTGGATATATGACAGGTTGCACCATCTTGCTGGAACCAACACTAATGTTCATTAACTTCAAGGTGTACAGTAAACTGTGTAACAAAATCTTGTGTATTTAGTACTTTTCACTATAGTCTGACACTGTTCAACAATGAACATTTGTTACTTTTAGGAAAATGGTATATTTGATTAGTGCACAAACAGAGCTCTAATACATACAAGAGGTTCCATGTGATACATGTTTGTATTCCTTCAGATTCATCTAGAAACAGATGATAAAATTATCACAACTGAAGTTCAATATATGATAAGATGTTTTGTTGATGTACGTGACTTTTCGGTCTTTGTGTGTATTACTCTCAAAATATGTCTGTATTTTTTAAATGGGGGGGGAGATATTAAAATTCCTACAGTATGTTTAACTGCTAGATGTAAATCTCTTATATATTGCAATATTTGAAAGAACTGGGTGAGTTACAAGTTCATTCCATTTTCAATTTAAAGGCCAAAATGTAATATACAGGTATGTACCAAATTCTGTTGTTTTTTATTAACCTGATATTGAATCAAAAATCTGAATCAGGTCCATTAATTTTTGTAATTAAGAGAGAAAGGATAATGGTATGCCCTGCACTTTAAATGGGACACTAGGAATTTGCCCAGCTCAGTCTCAGTTTTGATAAATCCATGGTTCTCCTACTCGTTTTCCCTCTACCACTTATTATTTTAGAGATAAGTGGCAGGAAAAAGAGAAACTCAATGACACCGTAAGTATCTGCAAGTTACAAAGAATGCTATACATTTATGAACTTCTGTGCCCTCTCCAGAATTTGAACTTTGACTCAACAATATGGGATCTTGCAATGCTGATCGTTAAACTGATCGGGAAAGCACATCTTACTCTGCAAAGTAAAGATCTTTTCTCTTTTCATTTCTTTCAAAGTACTCCACTAGAAGCATGACCTTGTATCTAATTCATAAATTTAAATAATAAAAACTCTCTAATGTTATTTTCTATATCCTTCACAGAAGTGAGTCATAAGAACTGATTCTCTGATAATATAAAATGTGGACTGTGCAGAGCAAGTGTAGCATTTCAGCTTTTTAAAATGCCTGTAATTAATTATATAGGATCATTCTTGCAAAATGTTGTGGTACATATAGATCTCCCTGTGACAAAAAATAATTTCCTATCTATTGACCCTGGATGAGTTGGAAGACCTGTTACAAGTTATATCAAGAGATTTCTGTTCATATAATAATGTAGCTGTTTTGTATGACACCATATTTATTTCTGAAAGCTTCATGACAGATGATGGGGCTATTGCATTTCGGGCAACTGGTAGTTTGTTTGAATGTACAGCTGCAATGTTAAATGCAGACTTATTTGCTATAAATCTGTTTGCATGTATAACTGCAACATTGAACTCAAACTTATGTATTATAAATCTCAGATGGCTTAATATCATGCCATCAAAATAACGCTACTAACAGTATCAACAATAAAATAATAATCAATATTTTAAAAGCAAAGCAATTCTATTTTTTTTTTTTTTTCCCTGAAGTCTGTTTAACTGTCAGAAACTGTCTGTTTTCTTAAGTCTGTTTAACTGTGAAGATCTTGCTAGTGCAAGGGTCTCTCTAGTTGAGAATTTTTGTTTAATATGCGTTTGTGTTCTGTTTTATTTGCTGCGTTTGGTACTCTTTGCAGACTGAATTAGTCATGCTCTTTTTAGTTTTAGATTTTCTCATGCATTACTTTGATTCCTTTAAAAATGATATCAGAGGAGCTGCGGAATCATTGATTGGTAACTTTTGTAACTTTTTAGTGGAAATGCATATGATCAGGGGAGGATTTGTTTTAAATAAACGCATTGATATCCAAGAAAAAAAGAATAATTCTTCTATACCTTAAGGAGTTAATATTTTATGTAAATAAATTGTATGGAAGAAAATTAAATAGCCATTAGCATTGAATTATATTAAATTATTATACTTGTAATATTTTATATATTTTTGCTAGTACAATTCGTAGAAACTTTATTAAGATTTAAGTTATTAATCTGCATTTATAATCGGTTTATGAGCAACTTACAAATTTTGTGTTCCCACTTTCAGAAGAAGATGCTGTATTTGCCCAACAGTCTGTAGTTGATGGTGCAAAGAAAAATATTCTGGATACTAATGCAGGGGGAGATTCTCCTTCACCTTTTAACAGTCCTCGTCATTGTTCAAAACGTTCAGGGGATTGGCCTCCTGATGCTACAAATAAGAAGTCAAGGTACAAGCATTTGTGTAAATTTAAAGTGATGGAGATAATGTATCTTATTTAATTCCCTTAAAACCTTAAACATTATAAAATATAGCTGTTTACATGTCTTATCTCAGACAGGTAGATGCTTTCATGAATGTTGTCATAACTGAGTAACTAGTGAGTTTTTTGGATGCATCCATCAGGGTTCATATGGTCCTTAATATGTCCTTAATTTCGTTAATTTTAATAATCTGAAATTTCTGTCTGTTTTTACAACTGCTATTTTGAGTGTGATTAATGCTTTTTGGAGGAATATTTTCGACGATTCGCTGAGAAAGGCTGGCAGTGACGATACTGATTTAAAGAGAACAATCTGGGTATTTGATATGAAATTTTGTTAACTTAGCTTGACAGCTATGTGCCTAAGTAGAGGGATGCTTTCATGGAGGACTTTTTAAGTAAAACAAGCTTGATTCATGTTACACATGAGCAAAACACCAAAAACTTCTATGCAACAAGTCTATTTGTTGGTATTTAAATCTAGTTTGAATTACCAGTGGGGAGTAGTTTTACTACTCAACCACCAATGGGAATTTGTCATGAGAGATAAGGAGATTAGGATATAAGAAAAAGAACTTTTTATTATCATTTTAAGTAGTTTGAATCTCTGAAGATGAGCCCATCAGTAGCTAAATGATAAAGTCAATGAACTCTTTTAGTTCAGAACAAATGGTCTGCATGGGCATTTTCATGGTTTTCTCCATGCGTAGGCCAATTCCCTTAAAAGTCTGCCACCGGGTGTCTTTCCTTTTTATGGATATCATTGTGTGTGTTGTCTCACCCCCTCCCCCCCAAAAAAGGAGAAAAAAAAGGTTTCTGTGCCTAAACTTCTGGGTTTGCTTGCCTCATTGTTGCACATCAAAGCTTCTTACTTGCTGTCAAAGGCTTAAAATATGTATTTAATCCTTTTATTCAGTCATATAGTTCTTTGTGTATATTCAACTTGCAAAACTACCTAAACCAGCAATTTTATAATTTTTTTTTTCAGTCGTTGTGCTAAACAAGTATTCGAAAATATTTTTGCTTTTCTTCATGAAGATGTAAAGTTTCTTTAGATTTCTTTCTTAAACTGGGAAATATGCTGCTACTAATCTTTCGTAAAAGCAAAATGATGCACAGTTTTAGAGGGGTAGCATGGCAACACGAATGTGGTTTTCTGGGTGGGACCACAAATGCTCTATTGGATTAATGTCAGGTGAATTTGGAGTCTAAGACATGACTTGAAAGTCATTGGAATGTTCCTCGAACCACTCCCTGATGATTCAACCCTTATGACACGATGCATTATTGTGTTGGTAAACACCATCCCCTGCCGGAAATACTATTGTTGTGAATGGGTGAACCTGGTTTGTAACAATGTTGACGTAGCACACAGATGTTGGGGATTGTTCTATGGGGGATTATAAGTCCTAATGGGCTCTATGAAAAAAATTGCCCACACCATAATAACCTGCCACTGGCTTGTCCCCATCCAATTGTGCATCTGGGGAACCAGTGTTTCATTTGGAAATCGACATATTAGCACACTTGCATCGATGTGACGGAACAGAAGACATGATTTGCCTACCATGCAACTTTCTTCTATTCTTCTAATGTCTAATTCCGATGTTTCATGGCCCACTGCAGATGCAGCTGGTGATGACTTTGTCATCCATGCAACTTTCTTCCATTCTTCTAATGTCTAATTCCGATGTTCCATGGCCTATTGCAGATGTAGCTGGCGATCACGTGTCACCAATGCAGGAACCTGCTACGGTCTGCATGCGTAGGCCCACATGCAGCAATATACGCTGCATAATGTGTTGAGAAACACTATCTGGGTTTCCACTGTTGTAGCTCTTTGGTCATGGGGTAGCAATCTCCGCTGTCCTCTGGAATCAATGTGCCGTCGACGACACACTGCTGGCTTGCGTCTTGTCGTTTCACCATCCATACACCACTTTTAATATGTAACTGGGAAATATACTGCTACTAATCTTTTTTAAAAGCAAAATAATGCGCAATTGTGGAGAGGTAGCATGGCAGCACGAACTGAACGTGAACATCCCACTAAACATGTCACTTCTGATATTGATGTTCCCAGTCACCAAGCCTTGACCTTTGTCAAAGTCTGATAAATCAGCTGCTTTTTCCTTATGTTGCTAATCGCACTATGTTTTGAAAGACAATACATAACCACTTTATACATTCCAACATCAGCCATGCACGCACAGTGGTTTTGTTCCTGGGTGAACCCATTGTTATAGATGGAGGGTGGTCATAGTGTAGTGGCTCTTCAGTGTGTAGTACATTACTAAGTTTATCCACAGAAATGCTATGTACATTAATTACAAATGTTATTTTCATCATATTTAAAAGTACTTCGATAAATAAAATGTTATCTCCAGTGCTTGGCATTTTCTCAAAGTAAAAATTTAAGAAAATTTTAAAAGGAAATCAACCAAAGAACATAATATGTAGAATATCCAATGAAATGCTGATGCTGAGCTGTGCATTATAAACTGAATTAAAGGCAATTTGGAGTTCCTTTGAAATAATATTGCCATGTGACATGAAAACCTCCCAGTTTCTCCTGTTTTTCTCATAAAAATCTTTTGGTTTTTTAAAATTTCAAAATTGACAACTATGCATAAGATTCTAAGACCTTATCGTGATATTTCTGGTTGGTCACAGATCTGCTGTTGAATACATATAGGGGCATACATCCGTTGATCATTAATCCATCCCTATATCATCACACTTGCATTACTGAAACAGTAATATTCGAAAATACTAGAAGAAATATTTTGTGTTCCCGACTCTATCCAGATATAAACACATATAGAATCATTTGTTAAACTAAATCTCAGCACATTAGTAAAGAGAACATGGGACCACTAATATTCACTCCAGTTCTGATGATGTTTATATTATTTAAAGTGATCCCTCTTGTCTGGTGAAGACAGTAAAAGCTTGGCTTTCTGGTATAAAAGCCTATTTCACTGAGCTTTCTGTATCCCATTTGCCATGATACAACAGTTTCAGTGGTGTTTGCAAGCTCTGAACTTAACTGCCAAACAATAGACTTTCTGTTCTGATGTGCTGTTATACCAGATATCAATCTTAAGAATCAGCTGCTATTTTCTTACAACCTTGTCCAACAGTTCATGTCTTTTTGCAGCAATTCCATAGTGTAAAAACACTCTTGAATTATTCATACATCTCACTGCTTCCATGGTTGTCAACTTTGCTTCTAAATGGCTGATAATTCACCACTTCCCAGATCCTTACAATGAAACTTCAGAGCCATAAAAGACTGCTTTATCACAGAATTTCACTCAAATATTCATTTTGTGCAAAGTGCTTGATTCACTGTCATATGACATAACGCCTTCATTTGTAAATCTGAAACCGTTTAATCGTTTTTATTTGTATAATGCTAGAATCGTCTTTTGCATATCCTTGCAAAAATGGATTACATTGATTGAATATTTCATTGAATATCATTATTTCTGGCTATGTATTGATAAATTTGGACCTGTGTGTGAAATTTTCATATAAAGATTTAAATACAAATTTTTAAAAAGGAGAGAAAGAAAGAGGAAATTTTTTTAAATTTAAAAATAATTTTTTGAGGCATTAGATTAATCTAACCCAAATTGTCATGGTCCAGTTTTTTGTTATTATTTTTTTGTAGAACATTTAAAAAATGCCATGGTTTGAAAACAAATATTTATTACAGAACAATACGCAGAAACACAAGCAAAGTTACATGCAGATTTACAAGCAGAGAGTTAAAACGTTTACAGAAGTTATATATATAACTTTACAACAGATCATGGTTTAACAAATCGTAAACAAGACACAATAAATAACCAATCAAAAGTAACATAAAGAATGGGATTAAGTTTCAGAATAATTCGGACCTGACCGAAAGTTAATGAATGTATCGGACGTGACAGAAAGCTATACTTCCTTTTAACCAGTAAGAATGCAATTACAAATATCTCAACACTCCCCATTATAGAAAATATAAAAGAATTACACAATTTTTAAACAGCTCGATGATAACAGTTCATAGAATTTTGTTTCGGACAGAGCCTTAGTGAACAAATCTTCAGTTTGTAAACCTGATTGTACATATTCAATTTTAATATTATTTTCTTTAACAGTCTTATGAGTGAACTTTAATTTTTATATCGCTATGTTTCAACCTACCTAAAAAGTTTTCATTAACAATACTTTTAATGCATGGCTGGTTATCTTCAAAAATATAAAAATTTTTAACACTGGAAATTTCATTTACTACATTTTTTATCCATAAAACATCTTGAATACCTTTGCATAAAGCAATTATTTCAGCTTCTGTTAATGAAAGTGCAATATACTTTTGCTTGTTGCAGCACCACATAATAGGACAGTTTGAAAACATTATAAAGTAACCAGTAATTGATTTCGTATCTTGAGTATCTCCCCCCCCCACCCAATCTGCATTTACATACAAACATATGTTTGCCCTTTCCAAATCACCCTTTTTTGTATATCAATTTTAAATTTAAGGTGTTTTTCAAGTACCTAAGAATTCTCTTAGAACACACCAGGCAACATCAGTAGGATACTCCTGCAGTTGGCTTTAGCAATTTACTGCAGATAAAATATCTGGCCTTGTAACATATGCTAACCCATTTGCAGGAAATGGCTCTTTTATCAAGGGGTAAACTTTGTAGATACCAGACATCGTTATCTTCCATAGATTTCATTTCCTCATCCATAGCTCTTTTCCACAGTACTTGTTCTACTTGTGGTAGATTTACAATATCTTCAAATGTCAGAGTATTTTGTTGTGCAAACATTACTAGTTAAGTCTCAGGATTAGGCTACCTAACTGGTTATTTCTTTTCTCTTGAAAATTTCCTTTCTTCCTCCTTCTTATTTGCATTTAAATCGTCTTTGTCAGTGTCTGAAATTGATTTGTCTTCATTTTTAAT